CCGCCAAAGCACCCTCGGAGGATTTTATTGGCCTCTCTGGAAAGTGACGCAGGTTAAACCATCGTTAACATTTTCCTCAATGATCTGTATGGCACGCAAAATTCACAACAATGAGCTAAACCTAGTTTCACAATTGATAAACTAGGTTTATCGACTGTAAACTATAGTTTACAAACTGTAAACTATAGTTAACAATTCGTTAAGTATAGTTTTCATCTGTAAAACTATATTTAACGGTTGTTAACTATAGTTTACGAATGCTATTCTAAGTTTATCTGTTTGTTATAAAACGTTAACAATACATTTTGTTGATAAACAAAGATTCACGTCTGTAAACTATAATTTACGATCGTAAGCTAAAGTTAAGATTTGTAATTCATAGTTTACAAATCGTGAAACTGTATTTATCAGATAATCTATGTTTTGCGATCGCAAATGATTATTTTTGGTGTTAAGTATAGTTTACGGTTGTGAAACATAGATTATCGCATTAACTATGGTTTACAGATGCACAATATAAACTAACGTTGTTAACTATAGTTTACAGTCCGTAAACTATAGTTTATACACGATAAACCTAGTTTATTGACAGTGAAACAATGATTAGCTCATTTTTGTGAATTTGGCGTGCTAAGCATAGTTTCACAACTGATAAACTAGGTTTATCGACTGTAAACTATAATTTACAGACTGTAAACTATAGTTTACAGACTGTAAACTATAGTTTACAATTCGTTAAATATAGTTTTCATCTGTAAATTTATATTTAACGGTTGTTAACTATACGTAGTTTACGAATGCTAATCTAAGTTTATTTGTAATAAAACGTGAACAATTATAGATTTTGTTGATAAAGATAGATTCACGTCTGTAAATTATAATTTACGTTCGTTAACTATAGTTAAGAGTTGTAAACCATAGTTTACAATCGTGAAACTGTATTTATCAGAAAATCTATGTTTTGCAATCGCAAATGATTGTTTTCGGTGTTAAGTATAGTTTACGGTTGTGAAACATAGATCATTTTGTTAACTATGATTTACAGATGTAAAATATAGATTAACGTTGTTAACTATAGTTTACAGTCCGTAAACTATAGTTTACAACCGATAAACCTAGTTTATCGTCTGTGAAACTATGTTTAGCTCATTTTTGTGAATTTGGCATGTCATAGATCTGCCTTCTTTGAGTGATAGTAGGTTTACAGCATAAAATTAATGTTAAAGTTTATCCTGGTCTTTCGCTTTTTATTTTTAAAAATAAAATAGTTAACCCATGACGGCTGCGATATGTTTTGGATCTATCAGTTTAAGCAGTTTAAGTAGATAGTACAAATGTAGCATGGGTAAATAATACACCTTTTTTTAACCCGGAAGTTTCCCCTAACCTCTTTCTCTTCTTTGAAAAAGTTGCTACTTGGGTGTCGTTTAGCAAATAAAAAATTCATTTAAAAAATACATATATTTATTTCATGCACCCCGCGATCGATAGTTCGGAAGCGTACATTGTTTTTGTCCTGTATAACTGTTTATCTGTTGTCAACTTTAACCTTCGCCATATCTTCTGAACCGTGAGAGATAGAGATTTCGTATTTGGTATGCATACTCCACTAATGAAGTTCCTTCACTCGACACTAAGGTCAATAATCTTGTGACCTTGACTGTGACCTAAATGCTAAAAAACCTTTTGGGACTTGTATAGCAAATGAAGATTAGATAAACAAAATCTCTCTATTTTTCATCTTTGTGCAATTTCGTGCCACAAGATACATTTTGTTTCCTTACACATGTATTTTATTTAGCAGAAATTGTTTAACTTAATAGCCTTCATCTCACTCCATGTTAGGATATTTTTGACACCTCTTACTTGCTTTTCTACAGCTTGAGACGATTTGTCAGTAATTAAAAAGTTGTTGATTTTATTATATTTTGAAGGATTTGAATGATTATCAATTTTCATAAATACAACCATGAAATAAAATAACAAAATGGTAAATAACTGTATTAGACATATTACAATTTTTACAATGGTAAAAATGAGTGAAAAAATTATTTTGTTTCATCAAGCACGTCATTTATGCAAAAACTTAAGAGATACGAATGAATATTGATGTCAATTTTGTTAGCAGTAATCGATCTTTGAAAACGACGCAGTCGACTGTAATTACGCACATGCGCATGCGGAAGCCGGGCAGTTTCCATTGGCACAGTTTGTAGCACACCACTCATTCAAAACCGGATCTCCCGCCCACAAATTAATAGCATAACAACGGGTTCCAGGCTGAAGCGGGGCTTCTGTCGTTGTTGGATTAACGAGGGGCACTCCTGGAAATATATTAATTGGAAATCCTCCAGAATTTTTAGGTGGAGTTGATGTTTGTGGGGGTGGTTGAGTGATGATTTCCGTTGTCTGCGTGACGTAAACAGGTGAAGGCGTGTCGGGGTGTGGCGTCGAATTTGGATAATACATAGGTGTAGTTTTGGGAGTAATTGTGACGTCAGAACATCCGTAAAATTCTTCCTGAGGTCCGCATCCCATGCATCTGTGTCCGTCTGGTGCCAATCCGAAATTGTTTCCTGACAAATTGTCATTGAAAACGTTATACATTGTGAGCAATATAGGAAAAAGTTTCGTTATAAAATCTATATATATATATATAACTGGATGAATTGCGAGAATAATACAGTGTATACAGAAAATTAGGATTTTTGGAAGTCTCTTGGACTTTAAATTCAACGGAGATTCCTTACATGTAATTACAAATAAGATTTTTGAAAACTTGTTGGGATATAAATACAGTTGGCCCCGAGATAAAATTTCATAAAACCTGAAGCATTTTAGCAAGTGGGATGGACGATTTTATGTCTACAACTCGCTGTGAGCGCCATTGCGTTGTTATATGTAACAATGTTTTGATCACCTCCATTGTACCGATATGTATGGCACGCCAAATTCACAAAAATGAGATAATCATAGTTTCACAATCGATAAATTAGGTTTATCGGTTGTAAACTATAGTTTACAAACCGTTAACAACGTTAATCTATATTTCACGTCTGTAAACCATAGTTAACGCGATAATCTATGTTTCACAACCGTAAACTATACTTAACACCGAAAACAATCATTTGCGATTGCAAAACATAGATTATCTGATAAATACCGTTTCACGATGCGTAAACTATAGTTTACAAACCGTTAACTATAGTTAACGATCTGATAAATATAGTTTCACGATTTGTGAAACTATGATTAACAACTCTTAACTATAGTTTACGATTGTAAACTATAGTTTACAAACGTGAATTTATGTTTATCAACAAAATCTATTGTTAACGCTTATTACAGACACATAAACTTAGATTATTATTCGTAAACTATAGTTAACAACCGTTAAATCTTGTTTTACAGATGAAAACTATACTTAACGAATCGTTAACTATACTTAACGAATCGTTAACTATAGTTTACGGTTTGTAAACTATAGTTTACAGTCGATAAACCTAGTTTATCAAATGTGAAACTAGGTTTATCTCATTTTTGTGAATTTGGCGTGCCATAGATATGCTAATTATGTCTGTTTGTATGCTGTATACAAAGTTATTTTCGCCCTTTTACATTTGCTTACAAATATGCCCCGTTTTAAGTTTGTCCAGTCCCAGTTCTGTTAAAGAGTTTAACTTAGTTCTTTGAATTCACCCCGTTTTAGATTCGCCCACTTGTGCCAAGGGCGAAAATAATACAGGGTCAAAAATTTCCCTGCATACAGTATTTCAAGTGTTAAGAATGAATTAATGCATTGTTGTTGACTTCATTTTTATCTGCAATATTAATTTATTTATTGTAATTTCCATGTATTATCTTTCCTGTGCCCATATTTTCTAAACAAGTATTCTCCTACTCTTCTGTATTAAAGTATGTTGTATGTACTATAATTATAGTGATAAACCTTATTGCGAAAATGAAAAGGAAATGATAAATGAAACATTTTGATAAAATGCATCAAACATTGTTACTTCAAGTAATGTACCTGTATGCCATTTCCACTGGACAACGCACTGTGAGCAAGTCAAACCAGCCGGAAGTTGCGCATGAAGCAAGTACTTCCCGGTAGAAGTGACTTCCGTAAACCTTTGATTTAAGAAAAAAAGCCAGTAATGTATATATAAAACGATAAATGAACTTCAAAGTAGGCACCTTTTTAATTCTTTATCATGATTAGCTTAAGGGATCAAATATATGATTAAGAGCTTCACTCTTTCAATTTAAATTTTGATGTTGTTACATGCAACAATTTACCAGAATACTCTTCTTCAGATTGATTTCTTCACAAGTGCTCTCAGATTTTATCAAAATACATCAGCAATTTGTATATCAATCTAAGATTATATTATTCTTGCTATAGAAAAGGCATCGCATCAGTAGCCGATCCAGTAATCTTGAAAGGAGGGGGGCAAAATGATTAATATTAATCAAAATATACATGTATGTATACTTTAATCACAAAATGGAATTTCTGGTTGTACGGGGAATTTTTTTTTTTAATTTTTGGTTTATTTTATTTTGATAATTTATATTTCTGGTTGTTTATTTTCTTATGTTTTGTTACTGTTTTGTTTATCTACCATTTCAACATTGTTGTTGTTTGCCTTTTGCAATATACCTGGTAGCACCTGTTGACAACACCAGCAGATGTTTATCTAGACACTCCTGAGTGACCGCTCTATTGATATCATTGTTCGGACAGATCCTGAACTCGAACCAGCCGTAATGGAGAGCGGTGACCTCTACAACGATGTCAATCATCTGTCCTTCTACGTAACGCCGGGAGAGGAATCCCCGAGCATATTTCCCGCCAGCCTCGTTTTCGCGGGGTCCCTGATAGGGGTCGCCACATACCCCACACTTTCCGTGCTGGTAAAGGTATTGGTTCTGTAATAAAAAAAAATATATTGTTTTATTTCATTAAAAAATAAAAAAAAAAAAAAGAAAAAAGGAAAAAAAAATTCTAAATCATAAAGAAGTGATATATTTTGTCTGCAACAAAGATTTTTACAGAATAGATAGTTTTCGATAGGCCAGAATTTAACAAGAGTTATTTCCCGTTTGCCGCCATACTGGAGGTACAAATGCTCATATCCCTTCATTGTTCAACCAATTAAAAAATTTTATATTTGCTAGTTGCAATTAGGAATCATTATTTTTCTGATGAATATAAATTTTTGGAAGTCTCCTTTATTTTAAAAAAAATATTTAGTAAGGATTTCCCACCAAATATTTCTGCTACATCCTCTTAAACTTAGTAAGATAAAGAGGGAAAATCACCGCGTCGACCTCCAATATGGCAACCAACGGGAAGTAACTCTCGCTAAAATCAGAAAACTGTTGGATGCTGTTCACGAAGGCTTTAAGTTTTGTTCTTTTTCTTTATTGGATTTCCACTACAACACAATACTAGTACATGTTTTGAGCTACTCTTCAGAATGGATGAAATTGAGATTATTTTTAAATAATAATTTATTTAATTTGCTTGGGAAATATTAATCGTTACACTGATACATGCAAACTATATGTAACTGTAAAAACAATAATAACTGATTAAGGTCGATTGCGTATTGTATATAATACGAAAAAAAATATTAATCATACCTCTCCTGCTTTTCTAATATTTAATATTAAATTGATATATTTTACAAAATCCCTTAAAATCCTCGTAAAAAGATTGATAATCTTCCCTGCAAAACTGTGCGTCAGTTTGATGAACTGACATGTATTTGGAACACCCAGCAGTATCTTTAAATAATCTAAAAAGTATAGACCCCCCCCTCCCCGGGGCTAAGTTAAGCTGACTTAAAATTATATATAAGAAGGGACCTAGTTTATACGGGAAAAGTATATTACCGAGGGAGTCAGAAAAATTCCAGTCGGCTGCACCTCGGGAAATAAACTTGCTGTTTGGGAACTGGAATCAAAATCTCCCTAAATGTTATATTTTTAGCTGTATTTAAAAAAAACTTACTTTTGGGAAGGCCAATAATTATTGGGATAAGAGGGAAACTTGTTTTAACTTATCAATCAATACACTAAATTTTATAATTCAATTAATTAATGACCAAGGAATGAAAGAGAATAGTTTCCATAAAAGCTTTTAAAATGTTTGAATTTACATATATGTACGCATAAAATGTTTCAATGAAAAGGAAAAAAAAAAGAAACCCATAGAATTTTTGCGCTTGTTGCCGTTCATATATTTCTTTTTTAAAATTTTATTTGATAAAGCAAAGATTCCAGTGCACCTAATCATATAAAAATACTAGCCATTTTTCACGAGTGACCGATTAAAACAGTGAAAATAAATAGGGTAAGATCTAGAGTGGCCGTTGATTTCAAGTTGCCGCTATGACAGTTTTAATGGGATATTAATAACTTTTAATAGATTATTATCAGACGAATTCATTCAATGTTAAACATATTTAAACAGAAAGGTTTTTAATGCTTTTATCTTAGATATATTATTTCGTTCAATATATAATATGTACTTTAATGATATATTAAAAATCAGGGGATTAAGACGCCAAAAAAGATACACGAACAAACATTTACAAAAATATTCAGCTTGCAAAAACAATGGATTCTGATATAGGTTCACATACTACGATTTTCCTCTTACCTGTACTAAAACGTACTATATTAAATAAAAAAGCGAAAACTTAGAAATGTTTGTAAAATGAAATTTTTTCTAAACAAAATTATAGTCAGAAAATAAGATTTTTTACTATATGTAGCTTAACTTTTCTTATGAACAGTTTGAAAATTTTTACTTCCAAGTTTTTAAGTATCTTTCATTTTGTTACTAAGTATTTGTTTGGGAAGGACATTTTATGATTTAACATGTCAAAATCGAATCCATTTCAACATTATACTTATTTTATTATCACTTTACAATAGCAGACATCACGAGAAATTTTCAGATTTGCAACAAATTTCTAAAATGCGTGGGTTGAAGAGGAACCATAAGTATTGGTTACATGTATCAATTGCTCATAAAAATGGAGTGAAATAAAAAAGTTCCAATGATAAACATTTTAAGGTAGTTTGCACTCTTTTTCACTTACGGCAAATCCTCCACACGATAGTTGGTTGTCGTTATAATTTTTAATTGGACTTAATCCGAATCTCCACATACTAGATCTTGACGGTGGATCTAAGAGTCTCCCATGTCCATTTACAGATTCCAGTAAAAATGCAAAAGTCAGTAATACAATCAGAAAGATATCCATGTTTAATAATCCCATGGCGTGAAATATGAAATAAATAAAAGAATAAAATTGTCCTTCTTCCAGAAAACTTGTTATCACATTAAAAATTCCACTGAATGTTGGAAATATATGAACCTATATAATTAGTTTAGAAGTCAATTAACTATCCACGGCAAAGAAAATATTCACGTGGAATTAAGTGCTGGTAACTTTATGAATATACTAGATAATCAATAAACGGACATTGTCTTATCACTAAAAGTTTGAACAGCTGAAGGGAACTGATAGCATTCACGTTTTCATTCCTCCACCACTGTCCTTAAATTTTTATACAGGACTATCAGAAAAATCACTTGTCACTTCTTATACAAACACTTGAATTTCTTTGACGAAAACATATTTTCGAAGGGTATATTTTGTCCCGGACAAAATACATCTCAAATGTCTGATAATTTGTTTGTTTTAGATAAGATTGGTTTCTCGTTTTGACAACTTTATCTTATGTTATGATGGTTCCCTCCCCGACATCAGAAATATGGCGAGGGACGATCATGTGCAGTTTATTGGAATTTTTAATCTGTCTCCCACCTTTTGTTTATACCTAGGTAATCACCATGCTTAAATGATTCCTTATTCCTTTAAGAAGACGGTCACAATATTTTGATACTATGGCGATCTCGAAGGATGATGTCATTCGGAACTCCCTGTGAATGCACCGAAACTCGGACTCAATTTGTCAAATTCATTCTGAGTCATCACTGGGCACTTTCTGGCCTGCCTTAAGTTTATAGGTTTAATTGTGTTGTGATAATTTTTTACTGCGAAAGATTTTTTTCCAAAATAAGTGCCACGGACAGTAATTTTCATAGATCAAACCAGCGAAATCCAAAGGCAGATCTATCTGGTGTTGAGCTTTAGTTTTAGATTGGACTTGCATTGGCGTCTGATCTTGGGGGTGGGGTGGGGGCTAGGGCGGAGGGGGTAGTTCCCTTTTTGCAAGGATAGATATTAAATAGGCATTGGAAAATGGGGTTTAATTTTTTTTATGGTTTAGCCTCCTTTTCAATTCTCCCCTTCTCTTTCCAATTGCCACCGACGCCTATGACAGGATAGGTTGCTTTAACTTGATGTCATGTTTGTTGAGCAAAGATGAGATTATAATGCTAGTAAATGCGTACAAAGTACTCAGAAGTACAGAGAGCCGGGCTCATTTACAGAGTAGAATGGATTTCTTACATGAATAACGTTTATATTCTGATGAAAAAATAATTTTAAAACTATCAATATAAATGATAAGACACTGACAGTGAGTTTTTCAATCCTATTACCACGGTCCGATTTTGGCAGAATCAGAATTAATCTGGTACCGCAGCTGAATGTAAACAAACAGGCCAGTCTGGTCCCCTCTCCTGCTTTACCTCGTATGTGTAGAGAACTACGGTAACACTGATTATCAAAAATCCTTACGCTAATGAACTATGTTCTTTGACTTATGAAGTTTTCAAAGTCATTACTATACTAATGTTTATTTTATATAGATAAAACTTTGTTTTATTTTTGTTGCTTTATTTAGCGTTTGTATTATCTCAAAAGCGGTTGAGAGTAAGAACTATATTTTTGCACGTAACTTTAAAATAGCGACTTTGGGGTTAACATCCTGCCTTGAACAGGATCACATAAGCCGGCAATTGCTCTTTGAGCAATAAGCCCTGCTAAAATTATACAGGGAAATGGTTCTCCCCCATTAAAACGATAACTTCAATATATCTAGCGTGCCCTGGAACATGTGTCGTTAATAATTTCTTCCATTTTTATGAAAAGAAAAATTAAATTAAGTAATGCAGATCAATCTCCTCGTTCAATTATTTTTTGAAATCAAAGTTTTTTTTATTGGCTTTCAAATGTAATCAATATTGAAAAAAAAGATAAACGACATTGTTTGTGAAACATTGATGCCCCGTATGGCATCATCAGACCTGCCTACCCTTTTCATTGCAAAGGCGCAATTTTAATGTATTTTTGGTGGAATTTTAGGGGTAAAAGCGTACTATCAATCATGTTTTCCTTTTTTGTTTTACTAAAATACTTTATTTTCCTTTACAACAACCGAAATTGTATATTACTTAACAAAACTGGCATAAACTTTTCATCTCTTAGCAAAAAATGTGTTGTAAAAAATACCAATATCCTAGATAAAACTCAATTCAAAAATACATACTTAGTGATACATTTTGGTCAGTTTATATCATATCACTTAATTGAAGGCTTGCTTCTGCATGTTTAAACAAATCGTAATGTTTAGCATTGCATTTTATCTTTTTAAAACTCACGTTTCTCTATATCTTGTTTTAAGCGATGTTAAATAAACTAAAGGGGGCATAGAAAGTATTTATTGCGATATCATTTTATAGTTAACGTAAGTAGTTCCTTCTCGTCTTCTTTCGAATCTTCGCCAGTTTACATGTAACTGCAAAGTATATTACGTACGTTATCGAAGTAGTCCTCTTTAAATAACTTTTTAGGAACTACTCATTTCATTTCAGAAGGTCGTACTTTAACTCTAAATTTAGACGTTCATAATTGTATTTTAACGAAAACATCAACAGCGTAAAATTAATATAAGAGGCGTAATAGCGTAATTTTATGGTAAAAAGCGAAAAATTACGCCCAAAGCGGAAGGGTAGGCATGTCTGCATCATTGCAAAGATTAAACTTTTCATAAATGCAAATAAAATACCGTATAAGTGGAAATTTTAGCGAGACGCAAATTTAGCGATTTTGGCCTTAAAATAAGGTTATTTTTAGCGAGAAGAATTTTAGCGATTTTCAAAAGCTCACCAAAGAAGCCATTACAAATACAACATAATTAATTTTTAAAAATGATATTCAATTTTAGTGATCTCAACATGCTCGCTATTAAAGCCAATTTGAAAATTAAATCCTCGCTTAAAATTCTGCTTATACGGTATATATATTAACACCCAAAGTAAGGTCTTCTCACAAGAAATACAATCGTGAAATATAAAAGCCCTAGCAACACATGTTCAAAAGTTATATTTGAAAGGTAGGTCAAACCCCAAGGTCAAAAGGGTCAAAGGTGTTGGTTTTTTAAGAAAGGACTTGTAGCAATGATTACATATGTGAAGTGTGAAAGCCCTAGATTTCTAGGTGACTCACTTGGCTATTTCACATTTTTTAATTCTAATGGTTCAAGCACTGTTGACTATATGTTGGCATCAAGTCAGTTGCACCTTACGATCGAACATTTTAATGTATTACCTCCAACAGAAATATCAGATCAGAGTCTAATAACTGCAAGTGTACATATAAACATGGACCTGTTTTGTAACAAAAAATATTAAATACACTCTTTAAAGGGGAAATACCTCTGGTCAAGCACTTGTAAAAACCAAAATGTAGAAGCTGTTAATGAGGAAGAAACAAAAAAATCAAATACTTATATTGAATAATTTACTACATGAAATACAGGATGATAACACATATGATTCAAATGATCTTGTCAATAAACTGTCAAATATTATAATTAATGCAACAAATAAAAGTGTTCCATTTAAACCTGCAAAATTTACAAAATCAATAAGAAAAAAATAAACAAAATCCAAATTGGGTGAATACAGATTGTCTACTTCTATGAAAGGAAGTTAGAAATTTAGGACAGAAAGTACACAAATATCGGAACAACTGTGAACTAAAACATGCTTTCGCAAACTGTAGAAAAAATTATATTAAATTAAGGAAAATCTTAAATTAAATTTTTACAAGAGTATAGCAGAAGAAATAGCCAATATCAATCTGGATTTAGAAAAGGTCACAGGACCACAGACAAAATATTTGTATTAAAAACACTTGTAAACAAATATCTTTACGCAAAGAAACAGAATTTATATGTGTGTTTTGTAGATTTTCAAAGGAATTTGATACTGTATGGAGATCCGCACTTTTATACAAATTGAATAAAAAGGGCATTGGTGGTAACTTTCTCAAACTTTTAACAGACATGTATTCAAACACATACTATTCTTGTAAAAAAGACAATCAAATGAGCGAGAAATTTAAAGCCAATAGAGGAATCAAGCAAGGGGATAATTTAAGTCCAACACTTTTCAATATATTTGTTAATGATTTTGTGAATTATTTTAAGAATGTAAATACATATCCTGCTTATCTAGATACTATGCCAATTAATCATATATTTTTTGCTGATGATTTCGTCCTTGTATCAGAATCAGAAGTTGGTCTACAAAAGTGTATAGGAAAATTTTGTTCAGACTGGAAATTGTGTGTTTATATGAAAACATCTGTTGAGGAAGCATCATTTAGGTTTTATTATAATCACAAAATGATTAACATAACAAATGAATACTAGAAAACTGACCAGTCAGCAAGGGCCCCGCCATGGGGTAGAATTATAAGGGTGCAGCTTACGGAATGATTAAAAAATGATGAAGAATAAGCAACAGCAACTGTATTCTTAAAATTTCAAGATAATTCCTGAATATTGAAAAACCTGTAAATAATAACCTTGTATTTACATTAGGCAGTAAAGAACAGCTTAACGTTGAAATGTATATTTAAACAATAATGAAGCTTATGTTATATAAAATGCCAGCCTTCAATGAATGCAAATATCATGAGGGCTTGACCCTAACTTCATAACAAACAGCAGTTGCAGACAAAGGTTTTCATTAATCTTTAAGTGACAGATAAAGAAAAGCCTACTAAATTTTCTGCAGCAGGCTAGATAATTAAACCTAAGGGATTAATTGTACCTCTCTCATCATTTTCTTCTTGAGATACAATAAGAACTTTTTCAGTATTAATGATAGAATGGGGTTTTTATACAACTACCTTAAAAATTAATTACATAATAATATTCTTGAATTTACATAAAGGAAAGAAAGTAAAAATAAAAAATATATCTTCTTTAATCTATTTCTTGTTTTTAGAATTCAACGAAATCATAACTATTTTAACAAAAATAAAGTATAAACATTTATATTTAAATCCACATTTCAGAGTGTTCATAGCATTCCAAATTGACTTAACTTCATTTGCAGACAGAGGTGGTAATTAATCTCAATGTGACAGATAAAGATAATGCTTTGGATTTTCTTCAGGAGGAGAGCTAATTAATCCCAAGGGACTCATAGCAGCATTCAGTTTACAATGGGAACATCTTCAGAAGTTATCTCTCTTTGCCAATGCATTTTTATATAAAGTTAATGCATCTACCCCTCCACCCAGCTCCAAACCAGGAGACATAGAGAAACAAACTTAGCATCAAAATATGTTTTTCTTCCTATTGAACTACCATAGCAAATTTGATCTT